TTTTACCTTTTCAAACACTGACTTGTTATCCACATACAGCAGCAGTTATAGGTAGGGCTGGGCGATATGGCCAAAAAAATTATCATCCGCTTTTGGCGCATAAACATTATATCGAACATTTATCGAATTCTTCATATCGTTTTATCGAGGAAAATTATACCGCGATAATTATCGTTATCGAATTATCGCCCAGCCCTAGTTATAGGCCTATGTCCTTTTTGCAACAGAACACACACACCCAAACAAATCCTACAAAAAATACATTTCATCATTAAGAAAGCACTCAATACTGCCATAAAATAAAATCTCCACATATCCCAGACCTCCTGATGCCTGCATGAGTCCAGCTCATTTTCACCTCTGTCAGCGATTCTAGGGACATGAGCATGAACATACTGCATTATTATAGCAGTTCTGATAAGAAAAGCATGAGCTTGTGTGTCTTTGTACATCTGTGTGTGTATGTGTGTAGCATAATTAATGCTTATTTATTTAAAGCATGGTGAATGAGATGTTTAGGTAGTAAAGATAATATTGTTGCCAGCTACATAATTTAATTTAAGTGTGTAGGTTAATTATTCACATATAAACGACATTGTGTGCTGATAAACTAGTTTATGATATGGTTGATTAAGCGATATTGGTAACTGAAGTGTGAGGTGTGTGTGTGTGCAGTCCTGGGCTTTGGAGGATTATGGACACATGGCGGTAATCAGGGTTGATTTAATGTCCTGCAGCTCTCTACGGCAGACTGGGATAGAGTGGGACAGTGTCCCGTTTCTCCATCACTTCTACCCCCTTCCACCTTTTTGTGTTTGTTGCCTTCCCCACAACCCCCGTCTTCTTGACAGGTGGTTGAAAATATTTGTCAGTGATGAGAAGAGTGTATAGTGTCATTATTGATCAGATGTCAACTTCGTTTAGGGCAGAATTAAGTGATTCAAGAGATTTTGTTTAAAATTGGGGGGTGGAACCTGTTGTCATAACCACTGTTTATTTCACGCAGTGGGTGTGTGTTTGTCTGTGTGGTTCCAGCCAATAATATGCTGCTAAATCTCAAAACTTACTTTTGGGGATATCCTGTTATTTAGTATTATACAATAACCAGCAAAGTCTAGTTTAATGCAAGTTTTTGCATTTCGACTTTTTTTGGAATCACTTTCAATATTGTTTTATTCTGAAAATGCTAAATGTTTCTTTTAGCAATAAGGCTTGCATTGTTTGTAGCTAAAGTTAATGAATAATATGTTATAATTAAATAATTAAAATAAAATCAATAAATGTATGTAATTGTAATTTTCTCTTAGGAGACAACATTGATTGTTTTTCTCTATTTCATGTTTTGCATTTGTTGGGTCAGTGGAACAATATTAACAAACCATCAATTAATAAACAGTGACAGAAAATGTTAAATATTTTAAATTACTGTATGCAAGACAAAAATTCTACAATAAATATCATAAAATATCGAATAAAATAAACATTAAGCAGTCGTTCGTGATCTTTCCCTCTCTATATCATGTCCTTTCAGTCAACATGTTTTACAAGTTAGTGTGTGAGAGGCTTAATGAATTAGAGCCCTGTTGGAGACTCCACACCTCAGCTGACCAGTAATTAACAATTAAAAGATTTTAACTATACCTCTCCAAATCCTGTTGTGTTCCAGCTCATGGAACTGATGTTACAGGTCTGCTGTTCATTGAAACTATACACAGCTTTCTCTGTTTTTAGTGTCTGTGAGGATATTGATTACAGTTTGTTGTATCAAACATGCTATGGTGGTTTATGTATGTGATTGTGCCCGCATTGACCTGTGCGATTTTGTGTGGTCTCCGCTGAACTTGATAGAAGTCTAAAGGCTGCACTTTGCTCCCAGACAGCTGTACAAAGGTCATGGGCACTGCCGAGAGTCATTGTGAAATCCTGATGCCTGAATGTCTGGCACATGGACGTCTCAGAAGAATAAGACCTGAAATATCAGCTAAAGGTTGAAGCATCTAAACAAAGTTTTTTATAGACCTTATGAAATCTTATGACCTTATGAATCTGCAGAGACAGTGCTATTGTAACCTTGTCATGTATAGGGTGTCAATTATACTTGTTATACTTGTAGCAACCCTCTACATTGCGAGTAAATCACTCACATATGTGACTAAATCTTCACTCTGGGGAATGGCTAATACATTCTCAGATTTTACTCGCCAGTGTGTGAGTTGGAGGCTAAGGCCCAATCCCAATTCTATTTTATACCCCTTCTCGGCACCCGGTGTGGTCTTCTGCTGCTATAGCCTATCTCATGTGTTTTGTGTTCAGAGATGCTCTCCTGCATACCTCGATTGTAACAAGTGGCAATTTGAGTTACTGTTGCCTTTGTATCAGCTGACAGTCTGGTCATTCTTCTTTGACCTCTGGCATTAACAAGACTGCCACTTTCTAAATAATTTCTTTTTTTTTCGGGCCATTCTCTGTAAACCCTAGAGATGGTTGTGCATGAAAATCCCAGTAGATCAGCAGTTTTTGAAATACTCAGACCAGCCCGTCTGGCACCAACAACCATTCCACGTTCAAAGTCACTCAAATCCCCTTTCTTCCCCATTCTGATGCTCGGTTTGAACTTCAGGAAGTCATCTTCACCACATCTAGATATAAAAAATTTACTAGCCAATGGCGATTCAATTGCCAAGGTGTCCGTAGAGGGTTGTTGTAATCAACATAAAACTAAAACTTTGGAGTGAAAGGTTGAAAGCATATATTGTGGAGGAGCCTTTACGTCCTTCTCTACCTCACAAAAACATTGGTGTTGATTTGATCATGAAAATTAATTTACAATATAATTTTTTTTTCACTGTCAAGTTCAGCTCTGTATAAAGATGCAGTACCAAAGCCATAAACATTCTGTGACAGCATTGTTTTCAGCCTTAGGGAGTCTGTATTAAGCATTGGACTTCTGTGGTCTGTTTTAAATGTAATGGATCAGGTGGGTCATTTAAGGATAGGCCGACGTGCGGACCACAGTATGACCATGTTTCCGCCCTACCAAAGGCATCTTGGCCATCTGTCACAGAATTTCCCCCTTCTGCCCAGAGTCTGGGACACACACACATGCAACCATGCAGCTTGGAAGAATACAGACATTGCAGACTGTTTGTTTTTAACATACTACAGTGTTTAAGCCTGGTTAATAAACAATAAATCGTGGATTTGGTCAATTTTAAGGAAAAGAAACAGCAAGATAGAGAATTATATATTACAAAAGAAGCTAATAATAAGGTGCAAAACTGTAACTGGGTCAGTATGCATTAAAAAGGTACTAATATTTACACTTTAATATGTACTTTTAAAGCACTAATATGTACCTATAAGGTAATGATATGTACTTTTTAGGGGTAAAGATGTACCTTAGGGTACTGACCCAGTGACAGCCCTGTACCTGTACCTTCTCATTTAGCAAGTTTATGAGGTGCATACGACTACATTTCCCATCATTCTTAGCATTAGAAGGATAAAATGTGTATGACTTGAATTACAGAAAATGATTTAATGGTTTTGTCTTTATTGTTGTATATTATGGTATAGTACTTTAGTTTTTAGCTTGATAGCCATTTAGTAAAATACAAGACCTAAAAGAACTATATTAATGCACTGTTTTGACTGCTAAACTCCATTGTCCAGTGCAGTGACATGGTAGTTTCATGTAACTTGTAGCACTCTGTTGTCTCTTTCTTCTCATTTACTAAAATAATTTCAGCTCAAAGCAACATTATATGTTCGTTTATTTATTTGGTAAGCAAGCAGCCATATAGTAAGCAGGATATGGTGGAATCGTTAGCTAAAAATAAACCACTTCAGGGTGACAAATCCCCTTCACTTCATGCCGGGCTCTTGATCACCCTGTCTGGGTTTATTTTGCAATAATACATTAGCTGTAGCCTATATTGAAATAACCTGCCAGAGATAAACAGTTACAGTCGCCTTGTCAGAAGATCTGACCAAATCATTGATAAAGCTTTTTGTGTTGCACATCTCGATAAAAGCAACTGCTTGAAGCTGTGTTCATGTTAATTTAATCTTAGATGAATTTGATTTGATCTTCATCTTGATGAATGATGAAACCAGGTAACGGATTGCAACACTATCAGTATTGGCAAAACGGTGCAACCTTTGCCCTGTGTGTGTCCTTGTACTACGTTAGATAGATTATATGTGTTTGTGCCGGTACAAACTACCATTACCAGGTACTCGTATGCAGCACTCCATTAGCTGTGGACTGAATGGTTAAAGCAGCAGGGCTTAATGGATTCTCTTAGTGAAGTGTCCTCTTACATTTATGTACTTAAACAGCATATTATTTCATTTAAGGCCTTAATAACGGAGGTAATTGATGTTCTGCAAAGTCATATGTTTCCACAAGTACTCAATGTTCCTGTGGGCACGTACTTACCCTGTTCTCTGATGTCTGTACATGCTAAATAAAACATAGTATGCGTCATGATATATTTATAGTTTGTTACACTGACCTGTATGATTGTTTGGTTTATACATTACAAGTTAAAGATTTGGAATAATTCAGATTTACAATTGTTTTTTAAAAACAAAGTCTCTTATGCTCACCAAGGCTGCATATATTTGATAAAAAATACAGTAAAAACATTAATATTATGAAATATTATTACAGTTTAAGAAAACTGTTTTCTAATTTAATATATTTCAAAATGGAATTTATTCCTGTGATGCAAAGCTAAATTTTCATTAGACATTATTCCAGTATTCAGTGTCACATAATTAAATTGTGTCAAATTAAATTTCATAATATTACTGTATTTTTGATCCATAAATGCAACCTTGATGAGCATAAGAGACTTTATTCAAAAACATTAAATATCTTGATACATTTTTTTTTAATTGTGTCTATGATCGATGTCATCAGCAATCATTTTAGTGCTAAATTTGAATTGCTCCTGTCATGTCTAATATTAATCTCTCTTTTTGTCTCTTCACAGACACTAGTGCTCTTAATTCACCCCCCTCTCAGCCGCCACCCCTGAGCTCCATGGTGGGTCATCCATCCGTCATCAGTTCGTCCCGCCCTCTGCAGTCGCCCGTGAACACCCTGGGCTCATCCATGAATGGCCTGGCCTCACCCTACTCGGTCATCGGCCCATCTCTGGGTTCACCGTCCGTTTCCTTGCCCTCTACTCCCAGTATGGGCTTTAACACCCTCAGCAGCCCACAGGTAAAACGCTTCCCATAATTCTGTACTCTCTCAGACTGACACCAACCGAAGACAATAAGATCTTTCCTGCAAATTGAAATGTCACTCTCTCTCATAAATTAAAATTTGCCTCTTGGCAGTAATAGCCTATATGTACCATCTAGAGACAAGTGAGGTACAAAGATGTACCTTTTAGCTTTTGTACTTTAAGGTGCCGACCCAGTGACAGCTTTGTACCTTTATTTTCTGAGTGTATGGATGCCCTGGTGTTAAAAGAGGTCAGCTTATGTGCGTCTGTATGTGTGTCTCATTTCTCCCTGGAGGCCAGAGAAAGCCATTGACTCAGGCTTTTAGTCCAATGAAAGGACATCAATAACTATGAACTTACAGTATATGGGGCAAGTAAGTGAGTGTGTGTTATGAATCATGATAGACATACAAGGTCTAAATGTACTTGAAATTATATTGAAATTAAAAGAAAATGTGTAAAAATCTTGTAATGCTGGTAGCATGTGGCATTAATTGTGCATGGTGATTCTTATTCTGAAATCCTGTACATGGGTGTTTCTTTTTTTGTCCCAGGTGGATTTCAATCTTACCAAAATAAAGGCAAAATTCCCTCAAAATAAAATTAAATAACATGTATTAGACTTTCTAAAACACTTGGTGATCAAAGAGTGAAATAATCATATTTATTGTGTGAAAATGGGTTTTTACTTGTTATAACAGAAGGTAAAGAAAAAACAAATAATATCAGACAATTTTGTTGTATTATTTCCAACCAAGCTGTAATTTTGTCAAGTTATAAAAAAGTGAGAAAGTTTCATTTTGAAAAGTGTTTAGAGTTCATAAGCTAACTTTGAAACTTGCCATAGCGAAAACAAAGTTTGATATTTAAAATTTAATTTCCATCACTATAATTTCTGTCAAAGAATGTTATCAAAACCATTGTTATTTTAATATCATTTATATGCATGTTTACTATTACAGTATTATCTACAATAATATTTAGATTTAGCTTTTTTCAGTTTTTATTTTAAAGTATGTTTTGATGTGATTTTTTCATCTTATTATATTTATTTATTTCTCTAAAACTTTGGTTTTATTTGAGTAATTTTAGTACTTAAACTTGTTTCAGTTATTTGCCAAGTCAACATGTCTTATTTTCATTTAGGTTTGAAGTTTTTCATGTAATATTTGTCCTATCAGCATTATTTTTCAGCTTTATTTTAACTAAGTTTTAACTTTTTAAATTTTTTAATTGTTAACTTTTTTTAAGTTTTAATTTTTAAGTTTTAACAACACTGTATCAAACATTTGAGATATGGCGGAAATTACAGTGTGAAAATTGAGTGTATTTTTTTTACACTCCACAAAAGAAGCAGCCATAAACAAACGCCATATACAAACACAGAAATCAACAAACATTTATGCCAGTAATTCACTGAAAATAAGGCTCACTGAATCATATTCCTGATTCCACTTGCTTTCTTTATGCCTGAGGTATGGCCATGTACTCCCACCTACAGGATGAATGCTGCAGTGCAGAAAACTACATGTGATGGAAAAATGGTGAATTCTCCTGAGAGTGAGGGAGACACAAATCTCCCCTCCCCTTTGAAATGTTATGTCAGCGCTCTCACAGCTACTTGTGTAATGGCCTTGCAAGGTTGGAGTCTGTGAGTTGTGCGTTTGTGAGTGTTTTCTTGGGTTTGTTTGTGTGTGTGTGTGTGTGTGTGTCTGCTGTGCTGAAAGGACACAAACAGTCTGCTGCTGTATTGTGACATAAAGTCTACTCCTGATTACACTATATAAGCTGTTTCCGTCTCTCCTCACTTCTCTTCCTGTCTCACAGATGAACTGTTTAAATGTGAATAGCTCAGAAGACATCAAGCCTCCACCAGGATTGGCTCCGCTGAGCAACATGAGCAGCTATCAGTGTAGCAGCCCTGGATCCCTCTCCAAACACATCTGTGCCATTTGTGGGGACCGATCTTCAGGTACAACAACACAGGGATTGTTTAGGTGTTGCATTTTGGTTTGGTTTGGAAGATAATGCAAGATACATCTCTATCTCTTCTGAGGTTCAGTATGGTTGTGTTTGCAGGGAAGCACTATGGTGTTTACAGTTGTGAAGGTTGCAAAGGCTTCTTTAAGAGGACCATCCGAAAAGACCTGACCTACACGTGTCGAGACAGCAAAGAGTGCCTGATCGACAAACGCCAGCGCAACCGCTGCCAATATTGCCGCTACCAGAAGTGCCTGGCCATGGGCATGAAGCGGGAAGGTTTGTATTTGTGGGTTTTCTATCCATAAATCAATGATTTTTGAATTGCCTTTAAATTCCTGATGGGTTTTGTTTTGTTTTGTTTTGTTTTGTTTTGTTTTGCTTTGCTTTGCTTTGGTGTTTTGTTTCGGTTTGGATTTTTGTTTTGTTTTGTTTCAGTTTGGTGTTTTGTTTTGTTTTGTGCTTTTTGCAGCCTTTGTGGCCAGAAGATATTTTATTTTCAACACATATTAATATCATGCTTTAATTATTATGCTAAATAACATAAATATTAGTATATTATATTATATTATATTTCTATATAATCTTACATTATATTGAATACATTATTTTGTACATTTGTTCTCTTATAATATCTAAAATAAAATATAAAATAAGTACAATATCTAATATAACAGATAAAAGTTATACAAATGTGAGATTTCTTAAATCATTTTTAAATGTCATAATCATTAATTACAATGATTTATAATGTACTCATTTCCTTGCTCTGCTGGACCCCACAGCAGTCCAGGAAGAGAGGCAGCGTGGGAAGGAGAAAGGTGATAATGAGGTGGAATCAACAAGCAGTTTGAATGAAGACATGCCTGTGGATAGGATTCTGGATGCAGAACTTGCAGTAGAACCTAAGACTGAGACATACACAGAGAACAGTCCAGGCAACTCAGTAAGACAAAGACATTTATATTTATTCATATACCATTTGCACAGTACATACATGCTGACTTTAGCATTCTTTGATAAAGTAACAACTCAAATACTCTCTCTCATTCTTTCTCTGTCCTTTTTTTCATCTGGTCTCTCAGACAAATGACCCAGTCACTAATATCTGCCATGCAGCTGACAAACAACTGTTTACTCTGGTGGAGTGGGCCAAGAGAATACCTAATTTCTCTGATCTGCCTCTGGATGATCAGGTCATTTTGCTTCGAGCAGGTATATGACACTCATACACATGTATAAAACATATAGATATAGATACGTTGCTATTAACAAACAAGCACTCTACGACAACACTTTCAGGTTCTTCTGTCACCCCTATAAGAGCTGTTTTAGATTAGCACTTCATTTAAATTGTGTCATTTGGACTTTCCATCAAAGTTGTTGGATCAGGAAAAGCTTGGGAATTGACACAAAATATGATACATTTTAAAGAGCTTGTCTGATTTTATCCATTCGAATGGCTGACTTTGTCTTACAAAGCACAACTATATGACAAATATAAAACCTATGATCAAACAGGAACCAGTTTCATCAGCATCATTGTCCGAATGTCTGTACTAGGTCCTTGTGAAATTATATGCAGATAAAAATTATGCAATACTGATCAAATACATATTTTGCATTTATTTTGAAAACATAACTGAAGTAGTAACAGAGAGGATATTATGGCTGAAATGTGCATTTAAGCTGTGAAAATGCATATTGCACACCTAGATTTTTGTATGTTGCTGCTGCTGTTGCCATTTATCATGCCACATTTCTTCACAAGTGTTTCTTGTAAAGTGGCATCACAATAATATCATCTTTATGAATATAAAACTACCACCAATGTTGTGTTAGTATTATTTATGTACTATTGTTGTATTTATTAGTATTTTTAAATTAGCATTTTCATTTTAGTTTGAGTTTTAGTACTTAATTTGCTTCTGCCATTTTTTATTATTTAAAAAAATATATTTCTATAAAATTTTTATTATTTTTATTTCTGTTTTAGTAATTTTAATACTTCAACCTAAATGTCTTTATTTCAGTTAGCTGCCAAGGTAGAAATTATTATTTAAAAAGTATTTTAAGGTTACGTTTTTCATCTAATATCGACGTTTTATTTCATTTCAGCTTTATTTCAATTCAATTTCGAAAATGTTTTAGTAGTTTTGTCTATAATAACTCAGGTCAAAGGTCAAAGGGTCAGACAGAACTGTGTTGGTTGTGTAAGTGGGAATGCTGCCCTCTGTTGGTCAAACACTCCACATGCATTCATGAAGTAGCCATCACAGTACATCACAAAGCCTTGCTAATGAAGAAACCTGTTGAATTAAGAGAGGGAGAGATACAAATGCTTTTTTTCCCTGCTATTCATGTCATTTATTTTCTTCATGTCATTTTTCTTCTTACAGGATGGAATGAGCTTCTCATTGCTTCATTCTCTCATCGCTCAATCACAGTTAAAGATGGCATCTTGCTGGGCACAGGCCTCCATGTCCACAGGAGCAGTGCTCACAGTGCAGGTGTCGGCTCCATTTTTAACAGGTGACTATTTCCACCTTTAACACCTCTGGATTAATAAACATATTTGTTTGTTTAGAGAATGATCATAAATATGTATCTTTATTTTTATTACAACTATTGTATTCAAATGACAGCTTTGTGTATTTGTGTGGCAGGGTATTGACTGAGCTGGTGTCTAAAATGAAGGATATGCAGATGGATAAGACAGAACTAGGCTGCCTTAGAGCCATCGTCCTCTTCAACCCTGGTGTGTCGCTCATTGCCATTTATATACACTTGTCTGCAGTGTATATGGCAGAATTTAAAATAACTGTTTATTTACATTACATTCCAAATCCCCCCCCCCCCCTCCTTTTTGGAACACCTTGGGAATTGACAGATTATAATGATAAACTCTAATTGTGAAGACCTTGACTGATTTTTTATCTTAAGCACATATTATATTATATTATGTTATATTATATTATATTACTCAAGTTAAAGAGATAGTTTACCCCAATATAAAAAAAATAATATAATATAATATAATGTTTTATATTATAATAATAGATAAAGAGATACTACATGTTTTACCCAAAAAATTATATATATTTTTTTATTTTCTTTCTGTCGTGAAACAAAAAAATTCTATAATTTTCTTTTAAATGCCTTTATGCACTGCAAAATGTAATTACAGTGAATGGGAACTTTAATAGATTAGATGTAAAGACATGTGTAAGATGTTTTGATAGACTGAGTATATAGTTAATCATGCAGATTGTCTCTTCTCATAGACGCCAAAGGCTTGTCCAACCCAGTGGAGGTAGAGGCACTGAGGGAGAAAGTTTACGCCTCACTGGAGACCTACACTAAACAGAAATACCCTGACCAGCCTGGCAGGTAAAGTCATGTACATGTTTGTTCAGTAAATACTGATCATGTCTCTTGCACATACTCAATTTCACCTGCTGTCTCCCTCCCTGCCTGCTTTACAGGTTTGCTAAACTTTTGTTGCGTCTTCCTGCCCTCCGATCCATCGGACTCAAGTGTTTGGAGCACCTATTTTTCTTTAAGCTGATTGGAGACACACCCATAGACACTTTCCTAATGGAGATGCTGGAAGCACCCCATCAGATCACGTGACACAAGTTCCAACGGACCATTTTTTGTACATATTCTTATGTGACTAATATAATAACGAACTTGTTTGAAGATATTGCAGTACGCTGCATATTTTATACCAAGCACAAATTATTATTCTTTTAAAAAAATATTGTCAGGGGAACAAGAGGAGCAAGTCTCAAAATATACAGATTAAATTAATTTTACTGGTATGGTTTTGAGAAAAAAAAATTCTGTAAATAGCTAATATCAGGTATTCATTGTGGCAAGACAATGCAATAAAGAAATTATATTTTATTCAAGGAATGTTTATCAACCCAAACAGTAATTTCTAAAATGAAGTTTAGAATTATGTTCAAAATAAATATTTAAATACTATGTCCTTTTTTTTTGGGGGGGAAGAATAAAAAATAATGAAGGAGCTTGTTATTTTCTGTCCTTATTTTACTGGAGTATCTAACTTTTTTCCCTGTAAAACCAAAAGCCTTTAAAGAGCAGGCGATTGTTTGAGATGTGGTGTTGTCCAATTTTAAATATCTCAATCTCAAATAAATGACATTTTAGCAAAACACTGCATCATATACCTTATCTGGCGCAGTGTGTTCCGTCCGCTAGATGGCGCCATTTTACGATTCAAACCATAATTGAACTTTAACGTGTGGCTGTGGTGGCTTTCTCATTTTCAGTGTGGAAAGGCTGTGATTGCTCTGAAGCTAAAACAAGTTCGAACTGTCATGTGGGAAAGTAGAGTATAAGATTTCTTGCCCAAACTTTTGATATCTTAAAATATTTGTATAAATGTATTTCTAAAATATATCTAAAAAAATAAGCTTCATTCTCATTAGCTCATTTTAAATCGTATAATCTTTATGTAATCTGTGTTCGTTATACGTATGTTTAAGAACAGAACATATTTTATGTTTTTTGAAAACAATATAAATTGGTCATATAAATCTCTTAATCAATTACAAGTGATTTGTTTTTCTTTCATGTAATTAATTTGTCAAAATTCAAATAAACTAATTTTAGGTAGCCTATATGGTCGGTTCTGGTCATGGCACTATAATATAAACTCCAAACAAATGTTTAGGATTTACTTCACTGGTTGTCTGTTTGGGTTATATCACAGAGAACCCAATGATGTGCATGTAAAAATCATATTCGTTTAGAAATTACCCTCTTTTTCAGATTATTTTAATATGTTTTTTTGACATAGCAAAAACAGTAGCCAGAAAGTTATTGTTTAAGCTTAGCCCCATATTTTGTCATATACTACATTTCAGAACAGCTACTGTTATCCAGTATGCAGAAGAAATTGTGAAAAATGCAATAAATCTACATATACAATTAGCAGCATTGCACCCCATTGTGAATCTATGTTAAATGTATTTAATTAGTTTTTTTAAATGCACATTTCTACCCCAAGCAGAATTAATGTAACATTTTTCAGGGCATGTTTGAACCGTCAAGTTTATCTATAATATATTGTATAATAACAATAATAATTGTAATCAGTGTTTAATCAGTCAGGTTTTTTTAGCAACTGAAATTGCCTTGGGGTCTCTTAAAACCAAACAGGGCATTATTGTTCAAAATTCATGTTTTATTTTTTTTTATTCTTTTTTTAGAGTTCATCACAAGTTGTAAAGAAATGGCTGTATACTTACTCTCTAGTCTACCTGATGGAAGAGATTTGTGTGTGTGTGTGTGTGTGTGTGAGAGAGAGAGAGAGAGAGAGGGAGAGAGAGAGAGTAAACGACGCACCATTTATTTTCATATGGAGCTTTTGTGTGCGTTTACAACTATCTACGCATCTGTCGAAAGTTACACGGGGCGGCAAAAGGATATTTTCTCTTCAATGGTAGGTGGATGTATGTCTAATTCTATAGCATTTTTTAAAGTTTTGGTAAAGTTTTGTCATGTACAGTATAGCCTAGAAGCCTAAAGTTACTGGTCTTGATAAAACATGCTGACATGTGACAGTAATTAATGTTATGCGCATTAACTCACTGTTATTTGGATGTCTCAAGTTTCTTTATGTTTGACTGAATAATCTTAGTAGAGATGAGAAGTAAATATTTGAATGAAACTCACAATCAAATCTCATTTGTTCACACTGTAGCCTATTTCTGCTGGTCTTTATCGTTTTTGTTATTTTGTAATGCTCGTGGTTGAATTGAGTTTTTTTTATTTTGTTTTTCAGTATTTATTTTTCCAGTTTTAAATGACATTAAACTTTCTTTTATTTTAGGCTACTTTCACATTTTCTTGTTATAGCTACAGTTTTAAAAGGATGGCTGCTAAAACAATATACAATTCTGTAAAGTACACATAAGACTTTTTGTTTTTGTTTAAATACAATCGCATGAAATTACACCCTGAGGTTATGGATTATAAATGTCTTTTTTCCAGACATGTGGAGAAAGAGCGTGTGTGAAGGCTGTAATGAGCTCATCCGGGACAGGTACCTGCTCCGCGTGCAGGACGGACTGTGGCACGAGCGCTGCCTGCACTGCGCGTCATGTCGCGAGCCTCTGAAAGACACCTGCTTCCTCCGCAACAAGACACTCTATTGCAAGCGAGACTACCAGAAGTAAGACTCTACTTACTACTGTTTGTGTAAACAATGATTTCGTTTTATTCTAATTGAATTACTATTTGAAGTTCAACGCGGGAAAATGTGACGTGAGTCCAAGGTAGTCGGAAGTTTCTTAGTCAGATGAAATTACAAATTGACTGCTTGAATTTTCTAGAAATGCAGTTGAGAGTGCGGTGGATTATTTTTCCCCTTTGTAAACATTTAGAGCTCACAAGAAATAACCATCAGTTCTATTTCTCAGCGAAATTAAAAATAAAGAAATTAATTTTATTATACTTAATTTAAGCACTGCAACAATCTGCAACAATCACTTACATTATTTTCCAAAGAACATTTTAATGATTAATGCACAGAAATAATCTATATGTAAATATCTCAGTGGATACTTTAAAGATAAAGCCAGTAAAATGTTATTGTTAAGGTTTCAGTTCACATATCTAACCACTCTCTAGTAATGATGCAGTAAATAACTTTAAATCTTTTAAATTCCTATTTACAGGCAGTGTTGTTTATTTGACTCTAATGTTTGGATGTCGCAGGCTGATTTATTTACTTTCTGTTAAATTAATTTTGCAAGGCAACTTTTGTGGCTAAATATAATTTTGATTTTATTATTTTTTCTTTGCAAATATTTTAGTCCTGAAATGTCACATCTGCATGCAGTATAAAATTACACATGCACTATTCTGTTAGCACATAACTGTATACCTGTTTACACAAACAATATTTTTCTAGTCCATTTTATGAGTGTTGGTGTTTTGTGAGTGAGAGAGAGACTGTGTGTATTGGGGAACTTGGCACAGAACTCCTGAAAGACAAGGTGACTGCAGGAGAAAGGGTCGCGGTGGGCCATGGAATGCGAGGAGGCTTTCACACACAAACACACACCGTTAGATCACGAGGACAGCACTACTGACACGCTGTCAAGATGTGTTAAATTAGCAGGACCCATCGGTGTGGCAACGGCAAGCTGGGGACAGCATATGGCCACACCGACACGGTGCACGGACCCCCTACTACCCCCAAAACTCACTCTGATTTTCATTCACACACTCATATGCACATTCTCACCTCCGTATAAAAAAAAAAAGTGTGTGAAGCGACACAGCGCAATGACCCGGAAAATACAAACGAGTGCAGTTATGGACACTATTTGAGTTCTGATCACCATCTAAAATTCTCAAGTTTAATTTCAATGGCTGATGTATCTGTCAAAAAGTTAAAATTTTCAACAAAAAAGCTCTGATTTCGCCAAATCCCATAATGCATACTCACATTAGGAGTCTATCAGCCGAAGTAATAATAATGGAGAAGTGACCACTGTGCTCTTAATAAAAAGGCTGAGGCTGTGTGGAGGATTGGGCCATATGTTCTGGGTAGAATATGAGTGTGTTTGTGTGTGTGTGTTGGGGAGGGGGTATATGTAGAGGGGATCTCTGCGTGTGAAGTATGTCAAGGCATCTGGATAGGTTGGTGCCCAGTGGTGCCCCTGCTTGATGCCCGTCCGACCGTGAGATATCTGACCTGACCAATTAGCCACATATGCAGTGCTTGGCTGGCACTCCTACCCAGTAGCCCAGTGCTTAACTGTGGGCTCAGGGGTGGAGAGCACGCTGACCCAGCACTTACTGACCAGGTTAAGGAGCAGCTCTACTGTAAATGGGTCAGCAGGCAGGTACTTCACTGTTTTATAATGGTGATCAATTTAATTTGGATTTCAAGTGATGCTTAGACTTCTAGGACTAGTAACTTAATAATAGTAGCAATCTCCAGACTTCTTACTGTTTTATGATGAGAAGAGTGAGTTTCTTTAGTGATTCCCAATTGCTTAATTTCTCTCAAATCTTATGTAAGTTTACTTTGTTAAACATTTATACTATTGTTCAAAAGTTTGTGGTCAGTAAGATTTTTTTCTCAAAAGGGCTGCATTTATTTGTATCAAAAATAAAGTAAAAAGAGTAATATTGGGAAGTATTATTACAATTTATATATATATATATATATATATATATATTAATATATTTTTTTATTTTAACATATTATATTAATATATGTAATTTATTCCTGTGATACCAAAGCTGATTGGGTAAGCTAAATGGAAAGCAGCCACTAGGAGCATAAAATATAACTTACTGTGACCTTTATTATTATATTAGGACTATCAAATATTAAAATAATTAATCCAGTGATTCAGATCATTTTAATTATTAAAATAGATTTTTATAGTTAATGTCACATTTTTAAAGATAATTAAATTCTAGCATTAAAAAAATGCACTTCTGTCAAACATACCATTTGGTGTCATTCATTATAGAGAAAAGTTTGCCTTCAAAATGAAATGAAAGCTCAGGTGTCTTGTTAAAGGTAGAAAACACCTGTCAAGTGTGTTTTTCACCAGAAAAATTTTTAGTTTAAAAGTAAATTATTTCTAATAATGTAAAATGTAATCATATTAATGATAATGTGAAATGATATAGATTACAATATATTACGTGGAATACATTTCTAATTTAATGTCCAAAAAAGGTTTGAGAAATAGATTCAGGCTCTGATTCAGCAAGTTGCAATAATATATCAACATAAATGCTTCCAGATCAAAATAGATTTTTTTTTTTATCTTGTCAATGCAACCATTAACTAAATTGTAGCTATGTATACTGTATCTTTATCTACTGTATCTATAATACACAAACATGCAATTGGTATGCATTCACATACCACAGATGCTCTTGAGTATAATGAGCAGCACTTTGTTCTGTCCCTCCTACTGAACCCCTAAAGAACTTGCAGCGGTTTCCACAGCAACCCCAGGGCAACACTAATAGTTCTCAACAATGCAAGGCTTTGGGATGTTTCAATTCATACTTATCAGAGGAGGAATTTTTTCTGTCTGCATGTGAACACACTGCAATGCTCCCATGCAACTAGCTGAGATACGCATACCAACAATAACACCCACTGATCTATAGCCAAAAGCTTATAATTGGTACAAATTGTAAAAGAGAAACACAGCCGAAAACTTATCTTAATGCGTGAACATACAGTAATCATGGCGCTATTATTTAAAGAAACAGAAATAATCAGTATTTCAATACTGTCTGTGCTTGAAATGGAAACCTCTTATCCTATATAAATAAAGGTGACTTGACTTGACTTTTTAGCATTAAGACACCTCAGGTAAATAG